GTTGAAGATCTAGAAAATGATTCCTGTAAAACAGCTCATACCCCATAATACTTTTCAGAAAGTCTTCATGTGCCTCCAAGAAGATGGCACAGACTCCGTCTGAACATCATCCTATTAGATCAACAGCACGGAATCACAAGCCCTGGGAAGGAAAATGCTTTTGGTGAAAAGTAAATGAAATTTTGTGGTCCACTTTCTAGTTATCTGCTTGGGTAAAGCCACCTCAAGAGCTGGGGCTCTGGCAGGTTAGGATACGTGTAGTCCTTGTAAGTGTGCCCTAGGAAGAAAGGGATACTTCCAAACTCTGAAGACATGCTCCAGCTGCTGGGACTAGCAAGATCCTCATAGCATAACCATGTGCATTAATCCCCAGCTAAAGTGCTCTCCATGCTTCCTTATCTGTATGATACAATCACACCAATAACCACACAAAACTAAAAAGAAAAGGACTTTCCAAGTAACAGTCTTATGAAAATTATCTTCAAAATTCAATGTTTCATCCACTCTGGCAGACACACCCTCCCCTGTGTGTCCTTGCAGACCTTCCTACTCACCTGGGAAGCCCCACACATATGCAAGGGCCACTGCCCCTCGCCTGTCACTCTTGCAAGTTCTTGGGGAACCTGGCGTTAAGCCACTCAAGATGACCTGCTGCTGGGTCAGAGTTTCAAAAGAAGCACAGCAGCTCCCTCAGCACCATCTGTGGAAAGTCAGCTCTCCACACAAACGTTTATAAAAAAGGTTTTTAAAAAATTTCAATGTTCCATGGGACACCTGAGGCAAAGTGTAAGTGACAATTTGGGAAGATGTGTTTTTCTCTTGTATACAATGATTCAATATATTTTTTATTAATTAAGTAATTAATTTTCTTACATTGTTGTTAGTTTTTGGACAGTATTTGATTTCTCCTCTAAGGTGTGGTCACTATAGTTCTCCCACCACTACAGCCCCCTCGACATATCACCATAGTCCCTTGTGCTCTTCCTTCCTGTTTTGACCCCTCTTCCTCTACTTTATACCTTAAGTCTATAGTCAGCTTGCAAGTTTTTTTTTTTTAATTTTTTTTTTATAGAGGCATGCTTTATTTGTTTGTTTGGTTGGTTTATACAAGCACTGGGTACAGTCAGAAGCGCGGGAGGGTGAGAGAATTCACCAGAGCCAGAGCGGGGAGCAGAGCAGACAGAAGGACCGAAGTACACTGCTGAGGGGAGCAGCGGGCGGCAGGAGAGGTCTGTGCGCCATGTGGGACCCTCCTCCGGTGTCTGGGGAGCAGCCGGGGATCGAACCGGCGCTGCAGAGGCCGCGGGCAGCTTCGCAACCCAGTGCTCAACCGCTGCGCCACCGGGGAGGCCCAGCTTGCAAGTTTTATTTTCTTCCTGACCCTTTGTTTGGTTTCTCTATATTCTGCATATAAGTGAAACCATCTGATATTTCTTTCTCCTTCTGACTTATTTCACTGAGCATAATCCCTGCCCGCTTCATACATGTTGCCTCAAATGGTGTGAATTTATCTTTTTTCATGGCTGAGTAGTATTCCATTGTGTATAGATACCACATCTTCTTGATCCAGTCATTTGTTTGGGGGCATTTAGGTTGTTTCCATATCTTAGTTATTGTAAATATTGCTGCAGTAAACAGAGGTGTGCAAGTTTCCTTTCAAAATAGTATTTTCGTGCTCTTTAGGTAGATTCCTAGGTGTAGAATCACTGGGTAAAATGACAAATTTTGTTTAAATATTACACACAACCCATTAAATATTTGTAAACCTACTGAAGTAATTATTTTTTTCTGTTTGTATTTATATTTATTGAAAGTTTATTTTATTTTGAAATAATTATTTTGATCAGTGTGGTAGGATGGTAGTTGTGTCTCCACAGTACACATAATCTATGCCATCAGCAGCACCTTTGGGGGTGAAGCCCATCATGCACAGCTTCAGGTGAACCGTGCTGGGATAGTGCTCTCTCCTGCAGAGCCATGGACCCTGTGATGGAAGGTTCCTGACACAGAGTGGTTCGGACAAAGATGGAAGTGTAAAACTCAATCCTTTACCATGTCCCTGGTTACTATTTCCACATTACAAAGCCCTAAGAAGAGCTTTGAAACACTTCCGCTGGCCGAGACGGCCAGCTGGCACCAAGCCAGTGTGGAAGAAATTGCATGTAATTGAGAGCTCTCCATGGTGACAGAGGCACAGAGCTGGTGACAGACAGTTTCTGGCAGCTCACTTTGTGGTTACTGGAAACTTTTTAAGAAAATGAATCTAAAGAACTCATCTTTCAAATTAGGGATATAATTTGGTGACGATGTTTCAGATAGGGTCATAAACTCTAACAACCACTCCTCACAATCCCTTTCTCTGAAGTGAATCTCTTTCTTCATGTGTTCTAAACCTTCAATCTGAATCAATTATTACAACTATGGCTGGGAATGGTGATTTTCTTTTTTTCATTCTTGAGGTATAATTGACATGTAACATTGTATTATTCAACATGATGATTCGTTATTTGTATACATCATGAAATTGTCACCACAGTATGTTATCATACATAGTCACAATTTTTTTGTGTGATGATACCTTTTAAGAATCTCTTAGCAACTTATGAACATGCAATACCGTATTATTAACAATAGTCACTATAGTGTACACTACATCCTTGTGACATATTTCTTCTGTAACTGCAAGTTTGTACCTTTCGATGTACTTCATTGATTTCTCCCACCCAGTCCCCCACATCCTCACTACAGCAACTACCAATCTATTCTCTGTATCTGTGAGCCCTTGGGGGTGTTTGGTTTGGTTTTATGTTTTTTTTTTAAGATTCTATTTATGAGATCATATAGAGTATTTGTCTTTCTCTGTCTCATATTTCACTTAACATAATGTCCTCAATGTCATAATGGTATATGTTTGTTGTCATAAATGGCAATATTTCATTCTTTGTCATGGTTGAGTAACATTTCATTTTACACACACACACACACACCACCACCACCACCACCACCACCACATTTTCTTTATCCATCCATTGAAACAACTAGGTTGTTTCCTTATCTTGGCTATAGTAAAGAATGCTACAATCAACATGGGTGTATATCTTTTCTAGTTCATATTTTCATGTCCTTCAGATAAATATCCAGAAGTGGAATTGCTGGATCACATGATAGATCTATTCTTTTTCCATAGTACAGAACTTCCATGACTATACCAATTAACCTTCCCATCTATAGGGTATAAGTTTTCCCTTTTCACCACATCCTGGTCAACATTCATTATTTCCTTTCTTTTTGATAAAAACCATCCTAACAAGTGTGATTTGCCATTTCATTGAGGTTTGGATCTGCATTTCCTGATAACTAATGAAGTTCAATGCCTTTTCATGTAGCTGTTGAACTATCCTTGCATCCCTGGAATAAATCCTACTGGATTATGGTTTATCTTCTCATTGCACTGTTGAATTCAGTTTGCTGATCTCAAGTTGATTTTTTCCATCAGTTTCACCAAGGATTAGCTTATAATTTTATTTTCTTGTGACATCTTTATCTGATTTGGTTGTCAGGTTAACATTGACCTCATAAAATGAGTTGAAAGTGTTCCCTCCTTTCCTATATTTTTGGAAGAGTTTGAGAAGGACTGGTATTAATTCTTTGAACATTTGAAAGAATTCACCAGTAAAGCCATCTGGCTCTAGACTTTGTTTGGGGGGAAGTTTTTGATTATTGATTCAGTCTCCCATTAGTAATCAATATGTTCATATTTTCCATTTCACCATGATGCAGTCTTGGTATATTATGTTTCTAGGAATTTACCCATTTCTTCCAAGTTGTCAAATCTGTTGGTGTATAACTTTTTATTGTCATCTCTTATGGTCCCTTATGTTTCTGCAGAGTCAATTGTAACATCTCTCTCATTTCTGACTTTGAGTTCTCTTGTTTTCTTAGTGAGTCTTGCCAAAGATTTGTCAATTTTGTTTGTCTTTCAAAGAATCAGTCCTTAGTTCCATAAATCTTTTCTATTACTTTCTTTCATTTGTCTGCTCTGATTTATTTCCTTCTTCTGCCACTGCTTTGTAGACCTGGAGCAACTCAACCTTCCAAATCAGCTCCCTTCTGTCCTCCAAGACCTGCAGGGCTGGGAGCCTTCTCCCCTGGACCATGAAGAGGATCTATGCAGCACTTGGAAGGGGAATTCATGAGAATCTCAGGCTTCACCGCAGATGTCTCTGCAATGAACCTCTTGAAATATTGCACCTTTGCAAGCCAGCAGGCTTTACATTGCTAGAACAGGAAGCATTTTCTCTGCTTCTAAAGGGTGTTCTCTGAGTAAGAAAAAGTATTAACTGGAGCCTTCATTCTGATGGTTAGTCCAGGCGAGGAGCAAAGAAAACTGAATGTGAGTGAACATGGCCGCCTCACGGCACCAGTGATTACATCTCTGTGTGCCACAGGCCTAATCAGTGAGCCTACAGAATTCTGGTTCCTCTTGCCCCACCCTTGTCATCTCTCCAAATTCAATTTACCCATCAACCTTAGAGTATTTTGTGGGATACAGAGGTCCTGCTTGGGGCAAGAAAGATTAGAAAATGTAGAGATATAAATGAGGTCCCAGGATTTTATTGTGGAGATTTAAATGTCAAGTGGATTCTGGCATGGGTTTTCTCTCATGTAACTGAAATTTAACTCAATGCTGGAGATACCCACTTATGCGTGCGTGTGTGCGCGTGTACACACACACACATTAACTCATATATTTTGGATGTGTTTATTTCTTAGCTAAATGACAAATTGAATCCTCTTTCCAGTGTCTGGTAAAAGCAAGAGGTAGGAAGTGACTTCCCAAGGCTGTGAGAGACCTAAACAAAGCTGGGAGGGGCTCCTGTGGATGAATGAGAGGATGCTCAGGGCCTTGGTCTCCTAGGTCACCTTCTTCCATGCAGAATGTGGTAATCTCACCTCAGGGGTCACCTCAGGGGTCACTCAGGGCTGGTAGTATCTCCCTCTCATCTCCATGTTGGCCTGTGGTAGACTCTGTGATTTCTTCCAAAGGCCAGATCAAGGTTGGGGCCATGAGGACGGTAGACAGCTGTGTCAAAAACATTTCTCAGGACCAAGAAATTTCTCTAGAAAAAGAAGGATGAATAGTTTTAGAATTATAGCACCCTTGCCCAAGTCTTCACCATGAAATCCTCCTGGAATCATCGCTCATCTAGTTCTCTCTAAAGTACTATTCCTACTTTTGCCCACTGTTTTCCATAAGTCAATTGTTTCTTCTGCACACTGATTGTCCCCTCTGGTTTGAACTTGCTGTTTCTCTTTAGTAAACCTCTCCTGAGCCTTCCCACCCACCCCAAGTTGGTGCCCCTAGTATTCATACCCTTATGTTCCTGCTGCTCCTTTCCCAGACCCTTTCCCACATATGAAGTACTCACCACACAGAAGAACATCCCAGCAAAGAATCCCACAACCACTACAACAGACACCAGAGTGATGAGGACGATCTCCCACGGCTTCAGGAACCCAGTCGGCTTCTGTTCGTTCACCACAGTACTTGTGCCAATACTGCTGGGAGGTGTGTGCATTCCAGTAGAAGGTATTACAGAGCCTTGTGTGGTTGCAGGGGATAACATGTTGGCAGTTGTGCCAAACCCACTGGGGGTCATGCCAGATTCAGTGTGGGCAAGTATAGTAGTCCCAGTAGAGGTGGCACTAGATCCGCTACTGCCCAGTGTGTTCATCCCATGAGAAGTCATAAAGGATCCAGGAATGGAGGGTGCACTAGTCCCACTAGAGACTGCACCAGATTCAGTGCTGACACTTGTGCTGATTCCTCTGGAAGTCATGCTTGATCGAGTATTGGAGACTGAACTGGTGTGACTAGAGCTGGTGCTGGACCCAGTGCTGATCAGTGTACTGGTGCTCCTAGTACTGGAGAATGTAATGGTTCTACCAGAGATAACACTGGACCCAGTGCTTACAGGGGTTCTGGTCGCACTGGAAACTATGTTGGATCCAGTACTGACATGAGTGCTGGTCCAACTGGGTGTATTACTAGAGCCAGTATTAGCAGCAGTACTCATCCCAATGGAAACTGCACTGGATCCAGCATCGATAGGTGTGCTGGCCCCACTGGAGGTTGTACCGGATACAGTGCTGGCCGGTGTGCTGGTCACACTGGAGGTGGTTCTGGTTGCAGTGCTGGCAGGTGTGCTGGCCCCACTGGAGGTGGTGTCAGTTGCAGTGCGGGCAGGTGTGCTGGACCTACTGGTGGTGGTGCCGGTTGCAGGGCCGGCAGGTGTGCTAGCCCCACTGGAGATTGCTTCAGATACAGTGGTAGTTGGTGTGCTGGCCCCATTGGAGGTTGCGCCAGATCCAGTACTGGCAGGTGTGCTGGCCCCACTGATGGTGGCACTGGTTGCAAGGCTGGCAGGCGTGCTGGCCCCACTAGAGGTGGTGCCGGTTTCAGTGCTGGCAGGTGTGCTGACCCCACTGGAGGTTGTGCCAGATACAGTAGGAGCTGGTGTGCTAGCCCCACTGGAGGTAGCACCGGTTGCAGTGATGGCAGATGTGCTGGCCCAATGGGAGGTGGCACCAGTTGCAGTGCTGGCAGGTGTGCTGGTCCCACTGGAAGTGGCGCTGGATATAGTGCTGGCAGGTGTGATGGCCCCACTGGAGCTGGTGCCAGTTGCAGTGCTGGCAGGTGTGCTGGTCCCACTGGAGCTTGTGCTAGTTGCAGTGCTGGCAGGCGTGCTGGCCCCACTGGAGGTGGCACCGGTTGCAGTGCTGGCAGGTGTGCTGGTCCCACTGGAGCTGGTGCCAGTTGCAGTGCTGGCAGGTGTGCTGGCCCCACTGGAGGTGGTACCGGTTGCTGTGCTGGCAGGTGTGCTGGCCCCACTGGAGGTGGTGCCAGTTGCAGTGCTGGCAGGTGAGCTGGCCCCACTGGAGGTAACACCGGATAGAGTGGTGCCCAGTGTGCTGGCTCCATTGGAGGTTGGGCCATTTGCAGTGCTGGCAGGTGTGCTGGCCCCACTGGAGGTGGCGCTGGTTGCAGTGCTGGCAGGTGTGCTGGCCCCACTGGAGGTGGCACCAGTTGCAGTGCTGGCTGGAGTGCTGGCCCCACTGGAGGTGGTACCAGATACAGTGCTGGCAGGTGTGCTGACCCCACTGGAGGTTGCGCTGGATACAGTGCTGGGAGGTGTGCTGGCTCCACTGGTGGTGGTACCAGTTGCAGTGCCAGCAGGTGTGCTGGCCCCACTGGAGGTTGTGCCTGATACAGTGCTGGCAGGTGTGCTGGCCCCACTGGAGGTGGCGCCGGTTGCAGTGCCGGCAGGTGTGCTGGCCCCACTGGAGGTTGCTCCAGATACAGTGGTAGCTGGTGTGCTGGCCCCACTGGAGGTTGCGCCGGATCCAGTACTGGCAGGTGTGCTGGCCCCACTGGAGGTTGCACCGGATAGAGTGGTGGCCAGTGTGCTGGCTCCATTGGAGGTTGGGCCATTTGCAGTGCTGGCAGGTGTGCTGGCCCCACTGGAGGTGGCGCTGGTTGCAGTACTGGCAGGTGTGCTGGCCCCACTGGAGGTGGCGCTGGTTGCAGTGCTGGCAGGTGTGCTGGCCCCACTGGTGGTGGCACTGGTTGCAGTGCCGGCAGGTGTGCTGGCCCCACTGGAGGTTGCTCCAGATACAGTAGTAGCTGGTATGCTGGCCCCACTGGAGGTTTCACTGGTTGCAGTGCTGGCCCCACTGGAGGTTGCGCCGGATACAGTGCTGGCAGGTGTGCTGGCCCCACTGGAGGTGGCGCCGGTTGCAGTGCCGGCAGGTGTGCTGGCCCCACTGGAGGTTGCTCCAGATACAGTGGTAGCTGGTGTGCTGGTCCCACTGGAGGTTGCGCCGGATCCAGTACTGGCAGGTGTGCTGGCCCCACTGGAGGTTGCACCGGATAGAGTGGTGGCCAGTGTGCTGGCTCCATTGGAGGTTGGGCCATTTGCAGTGCTGGCAGGTGTGCTGGCCCCACTGGAGGTGGCGCCAGTTGCAGTGCTGGCAGGTGTGCTGGCCCCACTGGAGGTTGCTCCAGATACAGTAGTAGCTGGTATGCTGGCCCCACTGGAGGTTGCAACGGATAGAGTGGTGGCCAGTGTGCTGGCTCCATTGGATGTTGGTACATTTGCAGTACTGGCAGGTGTGCTGGCCCTACTGGAGGTGGTGCGGGTTTCAGTGCTGGCAGGTGTGCTGGCCCCACTGGAGGTTGCTCCAGATACAGTGGTAGCTGGTGTGCTGGGCCCACTGGAGGTTGCACCGGATCCAGCACTGGCAGGTGTGCTGGCCCCACTGGAGGTTGCACCAGATAGAGTGGTGGCCAGTGTGCTGGCACCATTGGAGGTTGGGCCATTTGCAGTGCTGGCAGGTGTGCTGGCCCCACTGGAGGTGGCGCCAGTTGCAGTGCTGGCAGGTGTGCTGGCCCCACTGGTGGTGGCACCGGTTGCAGTGCTGGCAGGTGTGCTGGCCCCACTGGAGGTTGCTCCAGATACAGTAGTAGCTGGTATGCTGGCCCCACTGGAGGTTTCACTGGTTGCAGTGCTGGTAGGTGTGCTGGCCCCACTGGAGGTTGCGCCGGATACAGTGCTGGCAGGTGTGCTGGCCCCACTGGAGGTGGCGCCAGTTGCAGTGCCGGCAGGTGTGCTGGCCCCACTGGAGGTTGCTCCAGATACAGTGGTAGCTGGTGTGCTGGCCCCACTGGAGGTTGCGCCGGATCCAGTACTGGCAGGTGTGCTGGCCCCACTGGAGGTTGAACTGGATAGAGTGGTGGCCAGTGTGCTGGCTCCATTGGAAGTTGGGCCATTTGCAGTGCTGGCAGGTGTGCTGGCCTTACTGGATGTTGCGCCGGTTGCAGTGCTGGCAGGTATGCTGGACCCACTGATGGTGGCGCTGGTTGCAGGGTTGTCAAGTGTGCTGGCCCCACTGGTGGTTGCTCCAGATACAGTGGTAGCTGGTGTGCTGGCCCCACTGATGGTGGCACTGGTTGCAGGGCTAGCAGGTGTGCTGGCCCCACTGGAGGTTGCTCCAGATACAGTAGTAACTGGTGTGCTGGCCCCACTGGAGGTTGCACTGGTTACAGTGCTGGCAGTTGTGCTGGCCACACTGGAGGTTGCGCCGGATACAGTGTTGGCAGGTGTGCTGGCCCCACTGGAGGTGGCGCTGGTTGCAGTGCTGGCAGGTGTGCTGGCCCCACTGGAGGTTGCGCCAGATGCAGTGCTGGCAGGTGTGCTGGCCCCACTGGAGGTTGTTCCAGATACAGTGCTGATAGGTGTGCTGGCCCCATTGGTGGTGGCACCAGTTTCAGTGCTGGCCCCACTGGTGGTTGCGCTGGATACAGTGCTGGCAGGTGTGCTGGCCCCACTGGAGGTGGCGCCAGTTGCAGTGCCGGCAGGTGTGCTGGCCCCACTGGAGGTTGCTCCAGATACAGTGGTAGCTGGTGTGCTGGTCCCACTGGAGGTTGCGTCGGATCTAGTACTGGCAGGTGTGCTGGCCCCACTGGAGGTTGCACCGGATAGAATGGTGGCCAGTGTGCTGGCACCATTGGAGGTTGGGCCATTTGCAGTGCTGGCAGGTGTGCTGGCCCCACTGGAGGTGGCACCAGTTGCAGTGCTGGCAGGTGTGCTGGCCCCACTGGAGGTTGCTCCAGATACAGTAGTAGCTGGTATGCTGGCCCCACTGGAGGTGGCACTGGTTGCAGTGCTGGCCCCACTGGAGGTTGCGCCGGATACAGTGCTGGCAGGTGTGCTGGCCCCACTGGAGGTGGCACCTGTTGCAGTGTTGGCAGGTGTGCTGGCCTCACTGGAGGTGCCGATGGATACAGCTGTAGCTGGTGTGGTGGCCCCACTGGAGGTTGCACCTGTTGCAGTGCTGGCAGCTGTGCTAGTCCCACCAGAGGTTGAGCCAGTAGTTGTACTGTCAGGTGTTCTTGTCCCACTGATGGTTTCACTGATTTCTGTGCTGATAGGTGTGCTGGTCCCTACTGAGATCATGGGGTATCCACTATAGTATACCGTGCTGGACCCACTATAGGTCATACTGGATCTAGTTTTGGCTGCTGTACTGGTCCCAGTGGAAGGTGTGACTGGTCCATTGTTGAATGTTGAACTGGATCCAGTGTGGGTCATGATAGTTGTTTGTGATGTTTGACTAAATCCAATTTTCTTAGATATGTCATGGTCAGTGGGGGTTTTATTGTCAGCAACTGCATTAATGTCATTGGAAGTTATGCCTGATGATAGTCATAAATGATGATAAAATATATGGAGCATATATACATTCTGCTCAATATTTTGTTAAATTTAACATTGAATAATTCTGGCAATGCTCACTTCAGTCCTATGAAATTGATACTATTGTTTTCACCAACCAAGGGAAGAAACTGATATTTAAAATACTGATTCTTATTCAGTTTTTTCAGTTAGCAAGTAAAAGAACAGAACTTGAACCCAGGATAATGAATCTGTACATTTCACTACCATGCTAAGTCATGGTAGTGACCCCTGTGCCTATCCCCAACACCAGTATTTATATGACCTGGTTTCACTGGCAGATGAGCTTATTCCATGTTCTGCTATACACAATGTAATACAGATTTTTAAAAAGTCACAAAGGAAGGTAAGACCTAGGTGAAACTAGTATCTATTGATTTATTTTTTTTTAGATTTATTTTTATTTATTTTTGCATACAAGAACTGTGGTGTAAGCCAGAGATGCAGGGCGTGAGAGGGATTCACCAGAGACAGAGTGGGGAGCAGAAAAGGTGGATCTACTGAAATACAACACTGAGGGGGGCATTGGGCGAGACAGGAGAGGTCCTCTACCCCATAAGTGGTTTAGCTCCCTGGCTGGGGATCAAACTCATGCTACAGTGGCTGGTGATTGATAACACTGAGACTTTCACACCTGCACTACCAGGGAAGCTCTGATTGATTCATTCTAAAAGTAGCATTGCTCTCCTCTTGTACATACTTCTCAGGGTGGGATTCAGAAAACACCTGCATTAGGATTTCTAGCAAACCACTCCAGGTTCAACAATAAGTTTGAGATGGGGCCAAGGTATCTGCATCTTCAGCAAGGGCCAGGTAATTCTATTTACATGACAGTTCTGAGGGCTCTTGGCCACTATGAAGAGATTGGAGAAACATGAGTTATAGGTAGCTCAAATACAAGCTACAGAATAAGTAAACAGTCTCTTGGGATTCAGGACTATGAATCAAGATCCTCAGGAACAGGGGCTTTTCCATTTCTTAGAGGCTCAGTTGGAGTTAATTTTGTGCCTCACAGAACATTTGGAGTTAATTTTCACCCTCACAGCCCTGAAGGACAAAGACACTCAATCTCCCCAGAGACTCTATTCACCTCTCTTGTGGTTCACTGTACCAGTAACTGAGTCCTGGGCGTTATCTGAACTAGCATAGGATTTAAGTTTAACTCTGTTTAGGGAAGGTCCCCACATATCTGCAATGGGGTACAAAAGGGCTCGAGGTCAGAATTATGACTAAAACTAAATAAGAAACTATGATTACCAAGAGTAGGAATGACATGTGAAAGAGGAAGTAGATTTATCCTATTGTTTTGGAGAACACACCAGATGAGTCAAAATAAGAGGGCAAATTTTAATTCAAAATGATGAATTCTCTAAGAAGTCATGCTTTCCAGTTGTACAATCAGAGACAGCCCTTGGAGTAATTAATGTAGTGCCAAGTCTGTGGAAATGGGACAGTCAGTTTTGACTCTTAATTCCTATTCTTCTTGGCCTGAGACTGACTTAGGTGGACGTAGAATCAGAGTTTGGGACAGGAGAAAAATAGAGTTTGTAGAATACAGAAGAGTGATATTTGTAAAAAATCAGTTCTTCTAGAATGGCACATATCAAAAAAACAAGCAACAACAAATGCTGGCGAGGATGTAGTGAAAAAGGATCTCTCCTACATTGCTGGCGGGATTGCAAACTGGTCCAACCACTATGGAGAGCTGTCTGGAGGTTCCTCAGTCTACTAAAAATGGAGTTAGCATATGACCCAGCAAGTCCACTCCTAGGGAACTACCCAAAGGATACAAAAACATTGATTCAAAAGAACACCTATACCTCTATGTTTATTGTAGCACTATTTATAATAGGTAAAACCTGGAAACAACCCAAATGCCTGATAGTAGATGACTGGATCAAGAAGAAGTGGTATATATACACAATGGAATATTACTCAGCAATCAAAAAAGATAAACTCATGCCATTTGCAGCAACATGGATGGAGCTAGAAGGAATTACGCTCAGTGAAATAAGTCAGACGGAAAAAGAAAAATATTGGATGGTTTCACTTATAGGAGGAATATAGGGGAGCCAAATAAGACATCAGGGGGAAAATAATAATACAAAACACAACAAAACAAAAACAAGCAGACAATTATAAATCAGAGACATCCTGCAGGGGAGGAGGAGGGAGAGGGATCAGAGGGAGGGAGGGAGGAGCACAGGGGACTGAGGTGATGGTGCACGGGTGCATTGGGGAAGGAGATTCTATGGGGACTATCCCTGGGGGGTTGGGGGGAAGCAAACTTTTAAAAATGAACAATGATATAAAAAATTTTTATAAATTTAAAAATCTATTCTTCTAGTTCTTAATATTTAATCCCTGTAGCTATACCACACAGGCAATTGCTGTTGTGTAGATGTAGAAACTGCAGCAGAGAAAAGTTAAACAACCCACCCAAAATACACACGTCACAGAAGGAGCTGTGATTCATACATAGGCATCGGAGAACAGGGTCCACAGCTTTAATGACTGTGGCCTGACATCCTCCCAGGTGATAAATTATTGCACCCAAGTGGTTGGAGTAAAATGGTGATCCTCACTCAATGGAGGAGAATTAGAGCCAACCCCAACAGCAGCCACCAGCACCCACATTCCTCAGATGTTCTCACACAGCCCACTTTCAGAGAAAGTCACTCACCATCTTCTAAAAGTAGGAGATGCAGCAGTAACCAGTAGTTAAGGGAAATGTTCCTTTTCTGCATGTTGAAAGCCTCTATGTGGTTAGAAAGCAAGATATTGGGATCCCAGATGTAGTCAAATCCTAGAAGGCAAAGAATAGGATTCATGAGGCGAGTCCAAGGTGAAGGGTTTTAGGAGCTAGGGTTTCTTTAAATATATGCTCTTGGGGAGAACCTAGAATGGGGTCGGGGAGAGCCTAGATACCCGAGTTCCTTAAGCTTCTTCCATGCAATGGTGTCTCCTCTTTTTTCATCATAGAAGAGCTTCAGGGGCTTTTTATAGCCTCATATGGCCTGAGAGGGGTTGGAAGTTAACCTGTTCTGCCATCCATCAGCCTGTGACAAAATAATACCGAGCCTAGGGTGGAATAGAGAGAAAGCATGGTGAGGAAAATAATGTGATCTTAGGAGGTGGGGCACTGGGCTGGGTGGGAACAGGAAGTACAGTGGGATAAGAAGGTCAAGTTTGCCAGAGTGGAAGGGACTTGCCACGTTGCCGGGTTCTAGATCAAAACTTTGTTTCCTGTTCAGGAATTGCCTGCTCTGGCCTGGAAGAAGCGCTGATGAACTGAACTAAGAGGGATGGACCCCCTCATCTCTGAAGCAACCAGAAATGTGAGGCCAAAAAGAGAGCAATAAACAGAGATCTGGGCTTCTGGGTTATGAGCAGAAGGTGGATGGCGCATTTCTGGGTATGCGGTCAGCACTCAAAAGTGCGTCTTGAATGAGCCGAGAAAGAGATCCAGGGGTTAATGAAAGCATCTTTGGGGTATCTGGTGCGTGGGAGTATAAGGTGTGGGGAGAGAATGTTGAATATGCAAAAACAAGCCACCTGTCTTTGTGAGAGGGTTAGGGTTCCCTTCTGACCCTCAACCATAGGAAAGGCCCCCTGTGTGTTTTGAGAGGAATACATAGGAGAATTTTCCTATGTTACTTTAGATGTTTCTTCTCCTCAGTCCCCTCAGTCTCTCAGTAGGATATACCAGGGAAACCACAGTAGAGGCTTCAGATCCGTTGAGGGATGGAGACACATAGTCAGGTACTCAGGGAGCTTCTAGTAGGGTCTGAACATGGGTGAAGCAGTAGAAAGGGTAAAGATTTGGGGAGCTCATGGAGAAGGCATCTTGTGGCCAGGCTGAGGGGGTGCATTAATGGGAGTTCCAATGCACAGAATGTATGACCGAGGTCAGTGCTCTCCAACCAGCCTCCTCCATCAATGAGAAAGTTCATGAAAGAGGCACCATGCCAGAGAGTTTATTTGTAGATGCATGTGCCTCTGGACATGTAAGACCCATTGGAGAGAAGCTAGCAAGCAGAGGGAGCTGGAGACACAAAGGAGCTTGGAGGGAGGGAGTGAGTGTCAGGGAAGGACCAGCGCACGGGGCAAGGCACAGATGTAGACTTGCCCAGCAGCAACCAGGGCTGAGTGAGGGCCAGACTGTGACAGGTGGAGTCCTGGACACCCAGCAGTCCTCGTCCGTGGTTGAAAGCCAAGAGCACTCTAAGAAAGAAACATTTTCCCCTCTACAATTATTTAGAGAGACAGAGGTCCTGAATTCAAGTCCAGAATCCACTTTCTAGAAATTACCCTAACTTTTTTTTTTTGACATGCATGCTTGACTTCTTACAGTGTATATGTAATTAGTATCTTTACCCTCTTTCAAAATAATACAAAGACTTTGGGACACTTTAATTTTTATTATCATCTCCCAACTCATGCCCTGATGTTATCAAGTATCTTTACCTTGATTTTTAATTTCATGAACAATTGTTCTTGTCAGCTTATACATCATGAGTGCGAACACAGCCAGCCACCCAGTATAGGAAGCTGCAAAAAGGAAAGGAAATATGATATCATGCTGGGTCACCATGCACTCAACCGAAACGTTGAAGCTTGAACCCTTTTATGTTTCAGCTTATTCAGGTATCCGATTAGACTCCACCCCTGGTGCAGGTCCTGGGCTTGGTCTTCTGTACTCTAAGTGCTAAGAATCTTCGAGAAGATATGCTTCTGTTCACCAGAGCTGGCAAAGCCTCAGAGCA